TTAGGTTTTATAAACACACATACCCCTCTTCTTCTCCCTGCAGAAGCCCACTCCAGCAGGATGTTCACAGGTTTCCCCGACGAGCTCATGAAGGCTTTGACCCAAGAACCTCTGACTGGAAATTTTCACCACTACGGCGTCACGGTGCAGGTAGAGGACACGCACCTCTGGTCGCCAGTGTCGCTGCACATGTTTCACTTCCTCTGCTGGGAGTTTTGGCTGAAATAAAATCACAGTTATTCTGTCATTTCAACATCAAGCAATGTGATTACATTCTGTTAGGAAACGTCTGACTCAGCAGGATGAATGATATAGAGAGGAATCTGCGTTATTTCAGCATTTTTCTTTGCAAACTGTGGGTTTGATCGAAGGCTGAGTTACTTCCTCAAGCCAAAGCAAAAGTCCAGGTTCACAGAGTGGCAGTCGGTTTGCGGTAATGTGATTAACCGCTTTAGGTTTCAGCTGATGTTAATGTTATAGAGAAGAGAGAACAGGAGCCGTCTAACACAATAATCTGTGTTTAAGGTAGTTAAAGGTGGCGTCACTGATCCCACACATCAAAGAAAAGTCAAGAGCACATCTTTTTAAAGTAACACTGCCATCTTGGATTATTATATTCAGCTTTTTTGTGAAATGTTCCCACAGAACTTCCAGGAAAACACCAAGCTGCACAGTTTCTTCTCCCTCTTGTCCACCAACGTCGCTGAGAGCGGAGCCCACTTTGTCTCCACCATAGAAGGTGACGAGATCATGTTTATATCAACCTGACAAACTGAGTCTTTGCTCAGTAACCGAGTCGTAGTAACAGCTGTTTCTGTGTTGTGTTGTCATGTCAGGGAGGAGATACCCGTTCTACGGCGTGCAGTGGCACCCGGAGGTGAACCGGTTTCAGTGGGACAGAGAGCTGAACTTTCCTCACTCTGCTCACGCCGTTCAGTTATCGTCGCTGCTCGCTCAGTTTTTTGTCAACGAAGGTAACACGACTGATCATATTAATTAGTGATGCTCATGGTGTATGATTATATATACTTTAAGACAACATAAGTGATTTTATAGTTAAAACTTTGAGTTATTTCTGGATTTATTGGACTTTTGCAGCAATTCTTTTGATATTTAATTGACCTAATTATGCATAAAAGAGCATCACATGTGATTATTTGATTATTTTCAGCAGTTTGTAAATTAAATTTCAAAAACATTCCTGTGTCACAGTCTACTTTGACAATTCATGCTCTGAAAAAAGTCAAGCTGCTGAAGATTTTTATGTATTTTAAAAGGCGCTAACATCACTGAACAGTCACTTGATTGTCTCCAGACTGTAAACTAGTTATTGTAAATTATTTCTAACAGGCGCTCGCTGGTATATTAACCAGCACCTGGGTGCTCATCTCATGCAAATGGACTCTTATATGTGCAAAGAAAAATCTGATTTGATGATAGCATTTTAATAGCAGGTAGAATCAATCCAGCAGCACAGAATTCTCATCCCTGGTGCTCGTCTATTAACTCCAAAAAAGCAAGAAAAGTGTAAATTGTATTTCAAAATAGATCACGTCTATATAATTATTGAATCAATGTGATGCAGTATTTCTTTCTCTGTGTAAACCATAAAAACATAAATGTGTAGCTACTGTATCTGTAAGTAATCTCACAATTGATTTTCCAGAATATTTGTCATAACATGCTTTAATATTTCAGTATAATGTTACCACCCAGAGGGCTAAAGAATTCTGAATTCAGCCATGATGGATCGCTGCAGAGGACTCTTTGAATTAATCAAGGGGAAGAAAAAAAATAGACCCACAATAAAAAGACAATCCTATTTCAATTCACTCCACTTATGCTCAAAATACTAAATATTGTATTTAATGCTTTCCTGCTCTGTCAGATTCCCCCGTGAAGGTGATTCAGCTATTGTACTGTATCCTATTGTTTTCTGCTTTAATCACATGCATCTCACTTCTGCTTTGTTTAGGAAGGAGAAGTTTACATCGGTTCGACAATCCGGAGGAAGAGGCCTCGTCGCTGATTTACAGCTACACGCCCGTCTACGCTGGGAACTTCACAGGATATGAGCAGATTTATTTCTTCTGAGATCCTCCAGCTGCTGACTTTGTGTTTCTGTGAATGTCCAACAAAAAAAAACAAAAAAAACTTAACACACAGTCCAGAGTGAACTCTGAACGTCTCGATCGCAGATATTCCTCTAAACAAAATGTCAATGTTAGCCGTGTGTTGATTCAGAGAGCACTTCTATTGCAAATTCACTCGCATTTAAGGCTTTAGCAATTTAAAAATAATCACTTTTATACTTGAATGTAGATTTTTTGATATTAAACTGCTTATTTGCGGCCATTTTGGAATTGGATATGTTTGGAATAGAACGTCTGCATTGGTTTTAGGAAAACTAAGGTCATGGTGAAATCTTCATCGGCTGATTTCTCTTTTTTTTCATCTAGTTTTTTATAAGCTGGACTTTAATTAATTAAGTGAAGAAATGAAGGATTTGACAAAATAGCCTCCCCTCAAATAAACGATGGAGTTTATCCAGTCACTATGAGAGTGTAGATGATACATTTTCCTTTTCTCTCAACAATTTAAGCACATTTTTTAACTTCACAGCCTTAATGTTAGAGGGCGAACGTTTATTTTTGACCATGCAGACAGCACTTGACCAAACAACCTCACTATAATGTGCATTCAGTATTTACAGGGTTGAGGTTGACCCCTTTGGTGTCAAATAAAGGATTTATAATTCGTGATTTTCCTGCCAAAGTTGTATCTCTGACTGAGTGAAACCTTCATGTATGGAAGAAAAATAGCTGAACATTTAAGTTTAAAAAAGGGGGTGGTCATGGCTGCGTTACCAAAGTTACCATCTGAGGCTCAAAAGGCGCCCATGTTGTCATAGGATAATTATTTATCTGATTTTTTTTTTGGTAATAGTGTACGCTGCATTAAAGCACAACATGAACTGAAACAATGAGGGTCTGACGGAGAAATCTGCTGACATTTGCTGGAGTTAGAAGGTGAAAATGTTGCTTCAACTTTGAGGATCTCATGGTCTTCATCAAAAAATAAATGCAACATGTTCAATCTTAGGGCTGCAAGGTGGCTCGGTGGTTAGCACCGTTGCCTCAAAGCTAGAAGGTCGCCGGTTTGCATCCTGGTGAGGATCCGAGATCTTTCTCCATGTTCTCCCCGTGCAGCGTGGGTTCTCTCCGGGTTCTCCGGCTTCCTCCCACAAGGTCCAAAAACATGTTGAGGTTAATTGGTGATTCTAAATTGTCCGTAGGTGTGAATGTGAGTGTGCTTGGTTGTCTGTCTCTAAGTGTAGCCCTGTGATAGACTGGTTACCTGTCCAGGTGAACCTGCCTTCACCCTGAGTCAGCTGGGATAGACTCCAGTAGACCCTAGTGAGGATTAAGCGGTGGATAGATGATGGAAGACAGAAATGTGGCTCCATAAAAAGCAAAAACATTGACATGTAGTTAAAGCTGCAGTGTCAAGAGGACGTTTGTCTCCCTCTTCTGGCTCTGACAGCAATCACACAAACATCGTTGACTCTTCTTTTAAACTGTCATCCTCATTTTTTATCTGAAGCATCAGAAAGGTTTCTTGGACACTCCCCAGGTTTATTCCTACTAACCCTAACCCTACTCCATCTCTGCCACTACGGCTCCTCTCCTCTCCAGACACCAGCTTTAACATTCTGATGTCCTGCCACATACACGAGGTTCTGCCTGCTGCTTATAGGATTAATCAGCATTATGAGGCTTATATGTAACAGACATTTATCTAAAAGTCCTGCACTCCAGCTTTAAAAAAATAATTAGTTTATTTTGTTATTTTAGTTCAGGTGCACAAATCTAAATAAATTAGCGCCTAATCAAATCACTGAATTACCATGTTGCTACAAGTGATTATTTAAATAATTGGTTCTTTTACAAGTGATTATTTTAGATTTTTGTTTGGACTAAAAAGAAAAAGCAGCTATTCTCTTCAGATTTCTTGCTTTGTTCAAGCATCTATCGCCCAAAAACTTTCTGACACCTGTTAAGGAGGCAGATGTGTTGCTTCAGCTCAAGTCTGCCATAATTAAAATATAATCACCTGATCATAACGACCTGAGCTGACCTCCTTAAAGCTGCATAATCATGAGAGTCATTTCGTTCACTAAAAAGAGCATGAAACTAACATGTTTTAACCACTGTTATGAAAGTTTTTCTACATTTGCACTCCCTTCCTCTTCAGTTTATTGGCACCAGCTGCTCATCTGAAGTCGCTCATGTTTGATTGATGTCATGGAGTTTAGCTGCAAATCCAAATGAAGCAGTAGAGGCCAATTATTCAAAGGTCCAAGGTGCTATTGCCACTAATTTAAAACTAATAGAGACATAACATAAAGAAATGAAATCATCATTTCTAATTATTTGCATGACAATTAGCTAAACTTTTCAGATTGTTACAGGTCTTCTTAGACTTTAAAGTGCATTTACATTTTGCAGATCATCTGAATATTTGCTGGATTACTTTTCTGCAGAAGATAAACTTTTACATCGTGTCACATTAATATCTTTCAGTCCAGTTTTAGAGCTTCGCAGAGCACAGAAACCCTCAAGGTAACTGGAGAGAGAGAGAGAACACTACTTTAACTGTTTTAGACCTAAGTAAACCTTTTGACACAGCTGATTATGCCACTTGAATTCGCTCTCTCAAAATCTGAGCCTGCATCAAGGGAACTGGACTTTAGCAGGTTTTATTCTTATCTTTTAGAAAAAACTTATGCGGCGGTCACCACATGTAATTATTTATCCTGCACAGCTGAAATTAACTGTGGTGTTCCGCAAGGTTCATTTCAAGGTCCTATTACATTCTCTAAGTACTCGCTTCCACTTGGTCACACCTCCCAACTTCATGCTCTATCTTTTCATAGATGCTGTAAATATGAGAATCATCTCTTGCCATGGGCTACAAGGTGCCTTGGTGGTTAGCATCGTTGCCTCTCAGCAAGAAGGTCACCGGTTCGCGTCGCAGTGAGGACACCCGGGATCTTTCTGCGTGGAGCTTGCATGTTCTCCCCGTGTTCTTCGGCTTCTTCGCACAAGGTCCAAAAACATGCTGAGGTTAATTGGTGATTCTCAATTGTCCGTAGGTGTTATTGTGAGTGTGCTTGGTTGTCTGTCTCTAAGTGTAGCCCTGTGATAGACTGATGACCTGTCCAGGTGTCCCCTGAGTCAGCTGGGATAGACTCCAGTAGACCCTAGTGAGGATTAAGCGGTGTATAGATGATGGATGGATGGATCTTTTGCCATTATGGCCACTCAGGCTTTGGAACGACCTATCTGAGGAGATTACAGAATCAACATCTTTTAAATCACTTCAATAGAGTCATTCTTTATTGCGTTGCTTACTCTGTTCAATGACATTTTTGGTGCCTCCATTATTTAATTTGCAACAATTGGTGTTTCCTCGAGTATTTAATTTACACTGTAAAAAATAACCATAAAACTACAGCCACATTCTAATGGCAGTTTACCGTTTCTCCAAAATATGGTTAAAAACTGTAAAATCTGAAATTTTTTGAAGCCAAAAACAAACATGACCAGCGAGCTACTATAAAAACTGATGGTGTGATGTGAGCAGAGTTGGTAGATCTAGATTCTGAATCATTATTGTAAAAGACTTTATGCTATGCAATTCACAGTTTGCACAAAATATTATAATTTACAGGTTGGATTAATGTTGATTGGGGTGGCAGGACACAGTATTAAACAATAAAGCTGTTATTTTGCTGTATAGTGCTTTAATCAATCATGCACCAATTAGCTCTTTACATAAATGATCATTCTAACACTGTAAAAATACAGTAAAATACTGACAGCCTGGATTTTACATGAAAATATATTGACATTTTTTTTTTTTTTTTTTTTTAAACCATATATCTCTACTTCTTGTTTCTGTTGGCCTCATTGGTGTTTGATTATAATGTTTTCTTTCTTACTATCTAATTTTTCTTGCCTGTCAAAGCTGCACTGTTTTGAAAAGGTGCATTACAAATAAACTTATTAGATTTATTATTGCAGAGCAGAACACTAGGACTCAGCACATATCATTTCCATGCCGAGGCCATGCTTTTATAATTAGCCTGTAAAACGTATATGCATTGATAAGCTGGACATGGTGATCAGCGGCAGGAAACGCACGCAGCCAGACCGTCACTGTGCGCACCGACAGCCGGGCGCAGCGGATTGGTCCGTCCGGCCGTCAGTGGCGTCTGCCGGGGCGGGAGCAGCGGAAATCGAGCCAGTGTTCTAGTTTTTCTCCCCTCTCACACAGATGCTGCTGCTGGGTCAGTGTCATGCCGTCTATTAATAATAACACAGGCAGAGCAACCACAGCGAGGAGAAGCGAGGGGAGATCCACGCCACCGTTTCTGCTTTTTGGCTCTGCGGAGACGAACCAGGGCGCGCACAATGTGACATAACCCCGCTGCGGCTCCAGCTACAAAAAAAAAAAACAACCCAAAACGCCCTTCATCTACATTTTTTTTTCTATCCGTCTTTTACGACCTCTTCCCAGGTGCTTTTGTGTGGCTCACCTTTCACACAGCTGGCACACAGTCCCCAGCTCCACTCGTGCGCTCCGCTGCGGTCATCCATCGGCTCAGGCGGCTGCGGCTTGTTGGTAAACACGAATCGGATCCCGCCGGCAAGGACTCCCTCTGGTGCATTGATGCACCCGTTTCAGTGGTGTAACGGTGAGCAGTCATTTTATATTGTGGGAGCTTTTTGTGTGTGTGTGTGTTAGGCCTCTGCCAGATAGTGTTTCTGGAGAGTTAAAACCAAGATTAAGGAGCAGGATGTGAATCACACCAGTGCCTTTTTTTCTTCTTCTAAATTTAGACATTTCCATTGAGAGAAAAGTTGCTCTTCTCCTTACTGAGGAGAATTAGGATGTGTTTGAGCTGCTTCATTTGTGCTCAACAGGGAGTTTAACCCTCCATTTATGATGCATAAGCAGCAAAGTGTCACACTGTTATGCATATAAACAGCTGTATGTGTAAAAGAAAAACTGTCAGCAGCTATACTTCCTCTTGTGAGCACCCACAAGTGGAAATCCACAGAAATGAGTGACAGCACACAAAAACAGATATAATAATGTCAAATAGGTCTGCTTGTACAGCAAGAAATACGCAAAATGTCTCCAGTCATTGATTAACCTGCAGGAAATTCATCAGCAACAGCTTTTAATAAGTGTTTTAAGGCATAAATTCAGCATATTCCTTGATTCCAGCTTCTCAAATGTGTAGATCTGAATCTTGTATGTGTCATATTTGATAGTAAGCTGACTATTTTGGGGCATTTAATCAACAGTGTAATAAATAAGGGTTTTTTGCTGCTTATAAATGCTTAAAAAAGCGACTTAAGTTGAGGTGTTTCCCATTTGTTGGCTGTATTTGTCATTCAAAGCATCAATTATGTGAATGTCAGTCATTTTTTCTTGTATTAATGAGAAGAATAAGAGACAACTCCATCAGTAGAATCCTTTATTTTGTTTTTCTGAAGTGACTCCAGTGTAGCCACACGAGGCCAGCCGCTGTGCCGTGTGTGTAGCGTCCTGCTTCCCTGGGCGATGCATTTTATGAGCCTGTAATTTAAATAGTGAAGCAGAGCAGATGAATAAGAGTCGCTTTCCAATGGCTGGGCTTTGTTTTGACCTCTTCAGATTTTTTTTCTTAGGGTGAAAACTAAAGAGTGTAGAAAAGGCCTAGAGGTGATGTTGTGGAGATGTAAGTTTTGCAGGATTTGAATGTTGTATTTGTCACATTTAGAAGTGATTCTCTTAAACTAGTTGCATAATAAGGAGAGTTATTTGAATGTAGCACCTATGGCTGTGGGACACTTTTCTCTGACGTTTTATAGACACAACAATTAATCAAGAATGTAATAAATAACGATTATTTGCAGCCCTGAAGGTTAAATTATGTCACAAATCGCACCTTAAATGTTCTGAATCCTGCTTATAAAGGCTAAATAAGGTAAAGTGTTCCCCGCTTGTTAGTTATATTTTAGTTTAAAACAGCAATTATCTTTTTTTATTTGTTTTTATTGATTGATCAATTGAATCCTGAAGTGATTCCAATTGAGAAACACACACACACACAAGGCCTGTCATTGTGCTGTTTGTGTGTTTTCCCTGTCTGGGTGATTTATTTTATGAGCTTAGAATGTTAAATACTTAATTAGAGCACCTGAGTAAAAGCACTTAATTACTTTCCAATGCTGGTTTTCCTGCTGTGATTAGTGCTGCTGGAGGTTTGACCTCTTCAGGCTCCTTTCGGGCTGAAAAACAAAAGAAGCAATCGTGTGGAAAAGACTTCGATTTAGGTCATATTGTAGAAAATATACACTGATGAGTGGATTTGAATCTTATATTAGTAACCTGATTGGCCTGCTGCATGGCTATGGGGCATTTTTTGTCATTTTTAAAGACAAACAATTAATCAAGGATGATATAAATAATGATTATTTGCATCCCTGTCGGTTAAAGTTTGCTATAAATCATGACATATCCCTATACTGCTTATACAGGCTAACTAGAGAGATATTTTAATTAAAAGCAGCCATTATCTGAATGTCAGTCTTTTCTTTGTCTTTTTTTATGAACTAAAAAAGAACAAGAGTCTCCTTGATCAGTAGAATCCTTTATTTTCATCTAAAGCGATTCCCATTGAGCCACACAAGGACAACCATTGTGCTGTGTGCGTAACATCTTTGCCTCTCTGGGTAAATCTTTGTTTACACCGATCTACTCTATCTGCAGTCTTTACGCTCATCTCGGCTTCGAGCAATTATCTTCTCAAAAGGTGAAAAGTCTGAACAACTTCTCAGTCTCGTCCGAGGCCGATATTTGCTGTCCGGAGGCGCGTCAGTCATACTTGAACAAAACGAGCCCCTTCATTGCGGTGAGATGGTGTGTCAGTGCCTCATTGTCACGGTGAGACCTGGTGCAGATGATGGATTGGTGGTGTGTTTTTTTTCCCCCCACTGACTTTGCCTGTGTGAATGCAGCAGCTCCGGCAGCCTCCTCGGCGGACTGTTGGTGGTGTTCAGACAAGAACAATTACTCCCTTTGTGCTGCTCAACTCCCCTGCTATTCATAGGGGGAAACACACACACACACACACACACATAGACGCACACACACAGTATCAAAGAGTGACATTCTGCTGGAAAAATGAAGCAGTATCAGGCAGCCACAGCTCAGCGTCTGCTCCGCTCTGTGCATGACACATGTAGCGCTTTCATGCATGTGATGAGGAGTTTTGGGCCCAACCTACTTTCTTGTTGAAAACAGCAGCAGCAGCAGCAGCAGCAAGCCATCGCAGGCAGGCCTGAGTGTTTCCCCCCCATGTGAACTGCTGAATATTTGATGGCAAGCTCTGTCTTTGGTGCGAGCGAGCAGCGGCAGCCGAAGCCGCTTTGTGCGAACGCGGCGTATATAGGACAAAACCCCACCAGGCATCTCATAGGAGCTGTCAGAGAAACTGCCATAATCGAGGTATTTTACGGCTCCGTCGCATCACGGCGGGACTTTCCTGCCCTTTTTTTTCCCGAAACATTACAACACGAGAATCTGTCTGACTCAGATTTCCTCCATCCTCAAAATGAGAACTTTCTCTAGCGAGCCTTCATCCTTTTTTCTTTTTTTTTCCTCCTGCATCTGCTACTCTTGGCGCCATGGCAACGGGGCGCCTCACGAGAGCGCCAATATATAGGTCAGTGGTCACGCAAGGCTCCACCCAAAGCAAAATATCACATATAGCCGCCTGCTCTCCGTGCATACTAACGCGTAGGAGGAAAACGTGAGTGCCCATCCGTACGGACGTGACAGTCGTACACAAAGACTTGAATACAAATGACCCAGATTTGGAGTGTGCAGCAGCTTCACAGGTGATTTGTGCCATCAGCTGTGCAGTGACATGAATACAGGAACAGACATAAACTCTCCCCTCCTCCTCCTCCTCCTCTGTCGCTGTACGCTCCTCTTTGTCTGCGGAACGTCTTTGTGAAGCAGATTGTTTGACACATGTAAAGATGATGGAGAAAATTAGGTCAACGCCGCTGTTTGTTTGCATGTTCACATCCTCACGTGTGTCCGACGGCGAGTGCGGACACTTGGGTCATATCCTCGGCGATATTCTGGGAACCCAGAGGATCTAATGCCACAAACAAGGGAATTTACATGATATCAAAAATGCACATGCTACACGTGTTTTTGTTTTAATGAAATCATTTGACTGTTTCAGGCAAAGATGGGGGACTATGTGGCACAGCATCACCTACTTCCATATTCCTTATGAGGACGGGAAATAGTCTGAAGAAGCCAAAACTCCAGCAGCATTTGTATTATTAAAAAAATGTGAGAGTAAAAGTCCTTCATTTTAAAATCTACTTGAACAGAAGTGCAGGAGGATAATCAGAAAGCTGCACTTAAAAGTATCAAAGTCCTTCTGCAGAAAATTGGCCTCTGTGACTCAAATTATAACATGACATTATTAGATTTTTATTCTTATTTTTTGTACTTTTCCATCTGTGTGTAGCTGGCGTTTAGGCGTTAGGGGGGTGAAGTGAGTTTTAATTACTTTATTTGTATTTTACATATATTCTAGATATCTGTGTGGGACCTGTGTGATTTATTTAGGGAAGTGATGGCAAAGACGATGAAGGACATATTAAAGGTGGCACCTTATGGTGACCGCCTTGTAGGAAGAAGTAGTGGAGGAGGAGGAGGAGGAGGAGGAGGAGGAGGTGAGAAGAGTCCTGACAGTTAATTAGTCCAGTGCAGTGGTTTGCAAAAGACTCCAACAGGCTGGTTCATTTCAGGTGTGTTGTATCAGTGAATGAAATTTCATTTTTCCACTGTGAAATGTGCCACTGAACGCACCTCTTGGCAAAAATTGTTTAAAAGAGGAATAGAATAAAACATTTGAAGGCAAACAAATTAAAGAGATCATATGTGTTATGGGTTGTGTAGAAGTTTTTAAACT